TCTCCTGGTGGTTGTTGAAAAGCATTCTGGGAAGCGTAGTTTACTCATTGGAGCAGTCGAGTCAAAGAACATGTAGAGAATAAGTGTTAGAGTGACTTAAGCAGCAGCAGCAGCAGCTTCAGTCCATTTTGCTTTACAAAGGGTGTAAAAATTCAAGTCACACAACTTGTAATGAAACAATCAGGTCTGGTTAAACTAAAAGAGGAGCTTTTTAAACAGGATTGTTATTATTCTTTGCACGTCTCCACTTGTTTACACCATCTACTGCACATTCCTGCACATTCTTAATATTTCTAGTACTTTTTTTTAAAATTACTTTTAATCCCACAGACGTGCTGCTTTTTCTGTGTATTAAATAGTAATAGTTCCTTTTTAAAAATCTTTTCATCCTTCTTTAAAAACATTCTCCTACGTTCTAGCATCACGTTCCTGGCATGTGAAAACCTCACCGGCAGTAGAACTGATCCGGAGCACGTTGGAGACTCTCTCAGTAGAAGCTTCCCTGGAGGGAGGCAGCGAGTGTTTGTGAAACACCTCCGTCGCTTTACGTCTCCGGTGCCACGACGCTCCCGCTAACAAACCACTCGAGTCTATTTAGAGCCGCCACGACCCCACAAAGTCTCTGAACCGTTTCATTTCAGGACGGGTCGGCACATCGGGGGCCTCTGTTGCCATGGTGACCCACATTAGAAGTTCAGTTTTGGCGGGTTTGTCCTTGGACTTCATATTGTTCCAAATGGAGCTCATCTGGACACTTTACTGGATGTTATTTTCAACGTGTTGTTCGACTCGACCTTGAGGACGGCTGAGAGCTGCAGCGGTGCAGCAGAGGAAGGCCGGATGGAGAGACGGATCCACCGAGGACTGACTGTGATTATGAACTTCACTGTCTTCACTCCTGATTGATGTTCAGCATGTCGGCCTTTAGTCGTGACCTTTAGATACAGAGGAACAAGCAGGTTTTACTGGAGTGCCACTGTTGAGGAATCGCTTTGATCACACGTTTACAGACTGAAGAACTTTTTCCTCTTGGACAACAGATTTAATTTCAGAGATCGTCACAGGCACAACTTTGGACATCCATGTATATCATTAATGACCAAAAACTTCTAAGAGACATTCAAAAAGCCACATGATAATTCAATAGATGCAATAAATGATGTTAAAAATGATTGATGAAATCTCTACACTAGACAGCAGAAGACATCTTTTCGATTACAAGTTTTGCAGAAACATTCCCATGTTTGCTTCTGAATACTCTTTAAAGAGTAAATGCTCTTCATGGGAGATTTCTGAACACGTTTAAGTGACTGTTCAGTTGTTTCCACTTCATTTGCTGTCTTCACCCTCAGACAACGTGAAAAACGGCTGCTGATGAAAGAACAGCTGCAACTTTCCAGAGTGAAGACTGTTTCTCTCCAAGTTTTGTTTGCTTCTTCGTCTTTTATGTCTTTCTAGCAGTTGGCAAACTGTTTCCAGCTCCTTCTACTATTTCTATCATAACGCATTCTGCCGCTTTGTGACGACACAACTCGGCTTCATTTGTTCACTCGAAAGCGGTTGATCTCTAAAAGAATAATCAGTGTTTTCTTTTAATTTTGAAGACTTCAGAAGCTCACCTGTGATTTACCTGACAGGTGTGTGGGAACATGACTACTGATTGTTTCTCATTCTTTAACCGTTTTGATAGTAAACATGTGATTTTGTGAGTTTTAGGATCTCATTCAGGTCTTGAAATGGAGCTTCATTGGGCTTTTTCTTTACTTGGTCTCCCCACTTTGTTCAGCCTGTAGTCTCACATGTTTAGCTTGATCTCCACAGAGCTCTGTCAGAGCTGCAGAACGGTCTGACTGCACCTCAGTGTTGTCTTGGGCGGCGCTACATCCTCCCTGCTGCGACCGTGTTCCTGCAAAATCTCGCTGACTGCAGGTGTTTCGGTTGAACATTTGCATGCAGGAGAGCGAGCGTCGTCATTACAATGGCTGATTTACCAAAACAAACCGAGTCGGTCACGGTGCTGCACGACCTTCAGACAACTCCACAGTTTAGCAGCTCATCACACAACTCTGGTGCAAAATAAATACAATAAAATGAGCTCAGAATCTTGAACTATTCACATATTTCAAGGTGATTTTTTTTCATTTAAGGCTCTATTTGCTATCGACCTCCGTCATTTCACTGCTGTGAAACCCCAGCAGGTGTAGGTTAGATTCTGTTTGGCCCTAAATCACCTGAACTCATTTAATGGAAGAGATAAACTGCAGCTCAGGCTTTAATGTATGAACAGTGTGTGCGACCTTTCTCCTGTTTACGGCGTGGAGCTGGATGCTGTGATGATGAGGTGACCTTACAGAGCAGCAGGTCGTCTCCCCGATCAGCTGATAAACAATTATTGACCAACAGGAGGAGAAGCTCCATCGGGCTCCTAGAAGAGGTTAAGACCTGATCAGGGAGGATGGAAAACCATAATTGTGTCCCAAATCGGGTCAAACGCCTGATTTCCAGAGAGACGCTGCTTAAAATGACTTCTTAAACTCCAGTGTGTTGCATCCAGAGGGTCAGTTAGTGGCTCATATTTAATTCAGCCGTTTGATGGAGCGTCGGGTTTCCATTTATGTTTACAGGCTTTCAAATGGAAATAGAGGGTGTAAATAATGGAGCCGGGGATATTGTTTTCTTTTTATCTTGTTTGATTTGCGGTCAGTCACGATGAAATACATAAAAAGTCATTTAAATATTCTAATTTATCCATCACCAGGTACCAGGAGCTAGATTAGTTCCTACGGTCAGAATGTGCTGGAAGAAGAGATTGGAGGTTATTTTCTGCAGCTGTCCCCGCCTGGGACTGGATGTGCACACCACACACACCTTTATTATTTTTACTGTGTTTACACTTTGCTGGCAGTTTGGGGGCAGATCCCTGCTGATAACCTTGGAAGTGTTTCACTTTGGGACTTTACGAGGGGAGACGGTGTTCTCTGTGGAGGAGCAGAACGTTCTGATGGATGAAACTTTGCACATCGAGTCCTTTCAACCTTTCTGTTTTGGCGAAGGAGCCAACAGTGTCGACCTCTAAATGCACCAAAAGTAGTTCTCGCTGGATGCAACTCCGTCCTATTGAGCTTGTAGGAAATAAAACAATGGAAGCTTTGTTGTTTGAGCCAATATGGTGGATTGTATGTTGATGATGTTGGAAGACCTCGACTCGACCAGGACGAAGCAGGAATACGAAGCTTGTTGTCCTCTCTGAGCTTTAAACGTTGTGTGCTTTGTGGCCAGAGGAGGAGCTCTCCTCTCCCCTAAAACATCCCTGAAAGTGGATCTACAGGAACAGTTCTTACAGTTAAAGAGAAGCTGCAGTGGCCTTACGGTAGTGCAGCGTGGTCGGACCACAGAGATCAGTCTGGCTGTCTGAGGCGCATTCTAACCCAAACTATGATCTTTTTTCTAAATCTAACCAACTAGTTCTGGTGTCTAAACTTAACCAAGTAGCATCGTAGCATAATTTAAAACAAACGGCAGCTGAAACATGTTTGAGCTCAAACTGTCTTTTCTTAAAGTTACTGGTTGTGGAGTTCAAACTAAAGCAAATAAACACAACAAAGTAAAATGAATGTAAATGATGTGACACAGGGCTCGACTCCAGTGTTGTGTTGATTCCTCCTTCATCCTTTCAACCTCTTATTGTGGATTTTGTTGCTCTTTTTGTTCTTCGCTGCGTCTTTATTGGTTTTAACTACAGTTAACAAACATCTTTTGGGTATTTGGGCAAAACTGAATAGACACAGAATCCACAGAAACACCAACCCCCAAGGATTTAACACAAAACGTTTAATACAATAGAAATAGATCAATTCACTAATGTTTGAGGAAAAAAGACGAAGAAAACAGCAGAAAAGACAGTTTCAGTTGATGTACAGATACATCTTAGGTCAGTGGATGAAATTACTCTTTACATGAAATTTATACTTAGAAATATATACAACTTTATCCTCAGGTGCTTTCACTGTTTCTACCAGGTGTGTTCTGTCCAGACGGACCATGAAGGAGGTCCACATGTTCTGGAAGAAAATGTTTTCCTCTTATATGTCGGATAGGAATTTTTTTTGAAGGGCAGAGGGTTGATAACATCCATCTAGCCTGACTTGGGCTGCCAACCTTTTGCATCTTTTACACTCCTTTGGCCAATAACAAGCCTTTCTCTAAAAAGACTCGTTGTCTCCTTCTAGTCCATGTCTGTTGCTCTTTTCATGTAGAAAACTAAACAAACTGGTGACCAATATGATGCAAGGGAGAAAAAAACATGTAGAGAGCTCAGGATTTTACTGCTTTTATTTTGAAATGCACTGTGGCCCAACACAGTTAATAAAGTGAGACTGTGTGTTTGTCTTTATGCATCAGATACTTGCATGTGCAGCGTTTAGTATCTTCAGAGTTGATCAGTGAAGGTCGAAGCTTCCTGCAGATTGTCAGGAGAGGCCTGTGAGCCTGTTTGTGGACACTTAAAGACTTAAAAACTGAGTTTAATCTCAAGTTGGAAACAGTTTTCAAAGTCGTCTGATAAAACCTGCGTCGTCCTGCTTCTCTTCCTGCTTCCCTCTGCTGCCGTCATGTGACCTGCTGGTGGAAAAATACTGCACACGCATGCACAAATGTTATCGCAAACTGCAGCGAGTGTGTGTGTGTGTGTGTGTGTGTGTGTGTGATAATGTTTGTGCTCATTACCCGTGACCCATCTCCGGGGACGGTAGCGCACCTAATTAACTGACATCTATACAAATGAGACCTGATCAGTGACCTATATCTCTGCCTCGCACTCTTTCTTTAACCCTCATTTTACCCTCCATCTGTCCGCACATCTCCGTCCTTGAGCTCCATGTTCATGCTCGGTTTTGTTTTTTGTTTGCCTTTGAGGAGGATGTAGAGTTTTGAAGATGCTTGTCGCCTTAAAAGCGTTCAGAGAAGTGAAACGTGTTCTGTGTCTGTGTGTGTTTCTGCAGCCTGCCGCTGAGTAGGAGCTCTATGTGGATCAAGAGTTGAAGAAGGAGCACCTGAGACCAGTGGTGAGTTCATCGGCTTCCCTGTCTTACATTTTTATTTTATTCTCTCGGGAGCTTGGGTAATTGGGCCTCGCTCTGCTGCAGCGGTGAGAAGTCTCCGAGCTGAGAGAGGAGATGTTGTGATGGTTAACACACTCTCTGCCGGGTCGCCGTCAGCAGGGCTCAGAGCCGTGAAGTTACAGGAGCACGACTGTTCCTGGACGAAGTTTAATTCTGTTTATATCCTCAAGTAAGTCTTCATTAAAGCAAAGAGGCAAATACGTGTTGGCGTAATCCAGACCTCGTGGCCGTGTTCTGTCTGCTCCATTAGCAGCTCTTGTTAGCATTAGTGGCTCATTGTAATGGAGCCCAGTGGAGGGAATTTAAAACAGGTTTGTGGGGCAACTTTTGGAGGCAACTTATAAAAGTAAAACAGTAATTAGTGCATAAAGCTGCTCTTTTTATTGTGACTTAAGGCCAGATTAACTCTGTGAACTGGTCTAGTTTTTACTCACTGTGGCCTCCAGGTTTGGAGTTTATGAAGAACAAGGTGATGAAGTCAGTGTGCTGCAGTTGCTTTTGATATCCGCTGATGTTTGTCTCGTTTTTGGGCTGTAAACAGATTTTTAGTTTTAGATTAGAATTTATTTGGATTTGAGCAAATGCTGTCATGTCAGTCAAGGCCTCTCAGTGCACAAGTTTTAGTATTTAGAGTTTTTCTTGACAGAATCTGGAGCATAAAGTGATTTTGATGAAATATTTTAAACATACATTCAGTTAATCGTCCTGATAGAACCGCACCTCACACACGATTAGTTGAGTGACTGTAGGAAAGCTGAAAATCTCTGTTTTCTGTTTCAGTTTCTGGCTTATAAACGGTGTCATTTTGCCAATTTAAGTAAACAAAAAACAAAGATGATGTGAATTTAGTGAGACTAAAAATAAGGTTGGTTCACTGGTGCATGTGTTTATATAATATGCAGATATTTAGTCTAGCAGCTAGTCCACGGTGGTTTTTGGGGCTTTTCTAAATATGTTGACTCTTTTCTTTTACTAATGTTCAAAGCTGGTGTAGGTCATCTAACATCAGGGCATGTTACAGGCCATTTAACTCTCAGAAGACTTTAGTTTATAAAGCCGGGGCTCTTAAAGTCCTGATCCAGCTGGATGGTGCCGTGGGTCTTAATCTTTCTGGTAACTTCACCAACTTTAACCAAAGTGACTGCAGCACTAGATCTCTCTGAATGTGAGACGTTTCAGATCCATGCAGGGAAACCTCACCCTGCAGAAAATACAGAAAGAGAAACCGTATGTTCGTCTGGTCTCATAGATGAAGCCGTTAGTGTCGTACCTGCAGGAGGCAATTACATGTTAACGTATGTTTCTCGCCCTAATAGAGACGAATGCACGACCTCAGAATGTACAGAAAGGTTTCTTTGTGACGTCCGACTCCTCTGTGCTCGTGCTCCACGCCTCCTGCAGCAGTTTCCGCTTGTTTAAATTGTGTAATATTGTGATTTAAAGGAAAGCGAAGCGTCCCCGGAGTCATTTTTCTCATCATTTGACTCAGTTCGCTCTCTAACTCACTCACACTCGACGTTAATGAGATATTCATGGCGCGGACACGAGGGCGTGCACGAGAGAAGCATGTGTGTGCACCAGTGACTCCGAGTGCGAAGGCTGGAAGGGCTGATGCGGTGCAATGCATTGTGGGTAACAGCTACTGTAATGGCTCATTAGCTGTATCCTACGGCAACCTGGCCGAGTGGTGATGAATGGCTGCTGCTGGGGGTCATTAGTATATATACATGGGTGTGTCTTTGTGTTGCTTTCTCTGGTTTTGTTCTCTGATCAGCTACAACGTCAGAACCACCGACAGCTGGAGTGAGTTTTATTGATTATCTGGTCACAGCAGCTCCTGTCAGGCAGCAGGTGAACAGCCGGGTCTTATAGGCGGTGTCGGATCTGAGAGGCAGACTGCGATGGAAGACGACAGGTCAGAACATCTCCAGAACTGCAGGAGTTGTCGGCTGATCGTAGCTACAAACCAGAGAAAAGCTGCTAATGGAACGCTGTCAGGACACACAGAGCTTCAGGCTGGTGTGTAGCTGCAGACCAGTCTGACTTCTGACTCCCGTCCACCACATGTCCTATAGTAAGCGCTGAAACTGGGAGCAGGCGGCTGGTCCGATGAGTTTCCTTTACGCACTGCTAACAGCTGAGTGTGTCGTCCACCTGCTGAGGAGATGGCAGCAGAATGCATGATGGGAAGAAGGTCCCACATGGTGAAAATCCATTCTGACGTTGTGTTTCTTGAAGGTGTAAAATAATACCTTGTTTACTTCTCTTTACTTGCCCCCCATGTCCAGTTAGCCTCCCAGATTCACAACACCCCACTAAGCGATGTTTGTTGATGCAGATGCAGAGAGTTTTCTTCCTGAAGGAGGCGGGAACAGCAGCAGCTCATTGGTTTCAGAGCAGAACATGTAGAAGAGAGTTAAACTGGAAATAAAACGACAAACTGAAACACACTGCAGGGACATGTGAGTCATTTTCTGGAAAGAGGAACAGTATGGGCTCTCTGACGGATCTGCTGCTGATGTGTCGGCGCTCAGAACCACAGAACACCTTCGGATCTCTGTGGAGTTCAGGCCCGACCAGTCCAGAGGCGTTTCATCAGAACACATCACACGCAGCTGGTTTTAATGTTGTGGCCGACTGATGTTTAATACATGAACGCGTGTGAGCTGATTCGTGACTGTGAACTTTTTTGGTTCCGTGTGTGAGCGTGTGGTGTAATTAAATGGTTCGGTGTGCGCACGTACGTGCACGCACATCCTCTATGGGTGCGTTAACTTGAGCTCCTATCAGGTTGTCAGAAACCCAGAGGAAAGCTGCAGCAGACTCAATTATTCTGTCCTCGTAGACCAACACGCTCGTGTCCCGTCGACCCTCCAGCGCCGCCGCTGAGCCGGCGCTCTAAATATATCTGCAGTTCCTCTCCATCGCTCTCTTTCTGCAGAATCCACTCTCCCCATATCTTTCCACTTCATATCTGTCGCTGCCTGTGAATCCTTCTTCTGCGCTCAGCATTTGTTCTTCCACTTATCTTTTCATCGCTCGTATCTGCAGCATCTCACAGATGAGTCACCTCTGCCTCGTCGCTTTCAGCCTCACTGCTGAGGTTCATGCTGCTTTCACAACTACGCTTTGTTTGAAGGCGTCCACTTTGAAAGAAAGTCTGAATAAGGGGATTAAACGCACAACCAGGACCAGTGTCTGTGTCCTGTGATGTTTGCTTTATGCACCACAACTATGTGGTTAGATTTAGGAGAATATCACACTTTCTGAGACACGTTAGAATCTTGGTTAGGTTTTCATGTTTGAAGCTTCTCGTCTCTGTCCTGTTCCACCAGAGTGACCAGTCTCTCTCTCCCTCATGTATTACTGGTTGGCTGGAAGGATGCAACAGTAAAGATATTTTGATTTTGATCCTTTATAATCAACGCTCTATTGCACGATCCAAATCCTCCATAAAACGTAAAGCTTCCAGTCTGTAGGTTGCTGCTCGGAGGTTGTTGCAGCAAAGAATTCAGTAACAGCAGATCTTTACATCCACATCCTACGTCTGCTGAGTCAGACTGTAATGACACTAACGAAAGCCTTAACATAGAAAACATTAGCATGAATATAAACTAACACGTCTGTTCTCGTTCCTGCCCATGAAACTGTCTGACAGCTGCTAATGAAAAGGATGTGGTACAGCTCAGAGGAGTCAGACTGAGACCGAATCAGCTCCAGGGTGTGAACAGTTTTCATTCCAGTCCTGATAATGGAGCTGCTCACTCTGGACTCTAACCTCAGCGTCTGATGATAACGTCAGCCTGGTCGGTTTTCCATCCATCC